TGCTCTGTTGGGGTAACAGCCTTCCCTGCCTCTTCCCAAATAGCCTCATGTGGCCTTTCATCCTTTAACCATGTCCTAAAAACGTTCAGTCCCAGTTTAGGAAAATATTCTGTTTCAGGGTAGCATTTAGATATTTATATGCTTTGAGTATCTTGGCAGATGAAATGTAAATTTGTGCTTTAGAGCACTTGACTGCCTTTAACACTCCCCTGGTTTCCTTCCTGAGGAACAGAACCCGCCAAGGAATGTCTGAGCAGCACCCTGACAGGGCAAAGGCTGCAGCCCCAAGCACCAGGGTTGTTCTCAGAGCTCCCTTCAACAGCAATTCCACCTCCAAAAACCTCATGGCAAGACAAAGGACTCGGTGCAATCATGCAGGAAACCTCTGTCCCCAGAGCTGCTGGTTGTATAGGAACCCCTTTATCCCTCTATAATGCATCATGAAGGCTCTCTTGATATTTTTTAACTGCATATAGCAAAACAGATTTGGATTCTGTTTCAGCTGGTTCTAACACCATTCATCATTGCTGTATCTTAACAGGATCTCACTCTGATAATGGGACTCCAAGCAGTGATGAAATAAAGTGAGATTAAAATAACTACATAATAAAGTTCCAGATTAATCTGAAACTAGGGTAAATCTTCCAGGGCTGTAGAAAGGCAATAGCTAAGCTGCATGGATTCAGTGTTCAGTGAATGACTGTGATAAAATGTGTTGATCCACATTATAGCTTTATGTCTGTTTAGGTATAATAACCATAACCAGAGTTCAGCTGCTGTTTGGCACCTAAAAAAGTCTCCTTTGAATTTATAACTTGTTGCATGTCTTTTGTTTGACTTTTAAAATATCCAAATATTTGGGGAAAAAAAGTTATAGGGGATGGGTATTGACTCAGCACAGGGGCTGCTAAGCAAAGGGGAAGGACAAAATCCTCAACCCTGCTAGGAGCTCTTTGGTTGTCTGTGGGACCCCTGCAATCCTGGTTTCAGTGTAGCTGTGAAGCAGAGGGAGGTCACAGGGCTCTGCTGGTGCTGAATCTGAGGCTGCTGAGTCCCCTCTGCCCCATCTCCCACACACAGAGCTGGCAAACATCAGTGATGGACAGACTGACGGACAGAGCTGTCTGTCATCCAGCCTCCCAGTCAGGCATGTGGGGGCCAGGTCAAATCCTTCTTCCCAGTGGAACATCCCTCCCCAGGGACCCTCAGAGATGCATTTCAGTCCTTCTGAGCCAGCTGATGTTACAGAAGGAGACTTTGAATTTTGAACATGCTAGAGATTGCCCCTGTGGGCTTGAATTACTTGTAGAGTATAAATGATGCTGGAATGTTAATGCACACTCTAGAGGGGATGATAACTTCACTGAGTGCAGCCACGGATGGATTCAGCCTGGGGTGCTTGCTGGCAAACACAGCACCATCCATTCCTGCTTATTCCCCCCAGTTTGTGTCCACCTGGAGCCAGGAGCACTCCAGAAGAGAGGCAGGGAGTGGGGAACAACAAAGATCCATCTGCAAATTGGAAAGGTAAATTGCTCCCTTGGAAAAAGTGATCCTGAGGGTTGGCAAGACACTGGTGAGCAGAGCAACAGGCTGGGGCTGGAGAGAGCCCCTGGTAGAGGAGGGGATGAAGGCTGGGAGGTTGCTGGGAGGCTGCTGGAAGGATGCTGGAAGCTGCTATCGACAGAGCAGCAGGACCAGGCTCTCCAGTGATCCAGGACTAATCCTGACCCTGCCTGTGACAGGCCAGAGCAGCAGTGGTACAGCCTGGCTGGGAAGGGAAGCTTGATTTGCCTGGCAGAATGTGCATTTTAATTGCTCATTTTCTTGCCTTTTTATATGTGATTTGGTTGTGAATTATGTTTTCTGCATTTGTAATTAGAGGGTAGAGCAGATGGCTGGGTTTTGTCTGAAGTGCTGTAGCTGTTGAAGTAACTCACACTCC